TACTATGGAATACTGGGTGTATCTTCCCTAGCAGTCAGGGCAGTTTCAGTTGCACTGAGATTGGGTTGATGATCTTTACCATGGGGAATGGTCCCACAAACTTTGGTCCCAGTTTCTTGCTAGGGAGTCTTAACCTCAAATATTTTGTGGAGAGGTAAACCTTCTCTCCCACCAGGAATGGTCATTGAGTAGCTCGGTGTTTATCTGCCTGTTTCTTATTCTATTTTATCTATTTTATTTTTTGTATCATTTTGAATTATTTAGGGGTCTTTCTGAAACTGGGACATATATTTTAGGATTTTTATTCAATCATGGCCACTGAAAAGAAAAGTTACACTATATACAGAGCACCTGCACGATGCCCTTCGTGACCTTCCTTACACAATTATTCTCATAAAGAATTGTTGCCTGTAGTTCCATACTCTACTACTATATCAATGACATTTTCAACAGGGTGGCAATAAGGGCCAATTGATACTTTAAAACTTTAGTATAAACAAGTTTAGATTTGTTTGTACTGAAAGATTGTATGTAGGAATGGATACAATATTCTACCAGTAAATGAGTCACAGCTGTGTATTTTTAGATTTCTTCTATGTCACTCCAGAGATTAGGTAAAGTGTTGCTCTTCAAATAAAAATGCTATAGGAGCAAAACAAATAAAAACATATCTTGATGGCTATCTTTCTATTCCCCATACTACATAAGGTATCTTTCTTTCCTTGCCAAACCATGAGTCAATTTCCTTCCTCTGTATTTCTATTTAATTCCCATTTTGTCTGTTCTGCTGCTGAAAATTGATGGTCTGCTAATTCTCTGCTGAATTCCTTTATTCCTTGGTTTCATTTTTTAATGGAAATAACCATCTCATTTCAATCTACTTTAAAGTTTCCAGAAAACAACAGTATACGAATGTTCAACACTGCAACAGTATATTTTTCTAAACAGTGAATGGTGCTTTAGAAACTATAACATTCATGTAGCAGCAGTTAAGGTAATCAAATAAAAATCATTTTGATCAATTAGAAAAGCTTGGAATATCTGGGAGACTATGAGTTTAAGCCTTCTGGTAGGCATGGAAGCCAGCTGGGTGACTTGGGCCAAACACGTTCTCCCAGCCCAACCCATCTCAAAAGATTGTTGTTTTATGGGAAAAAGGAATAAGAAGAGGAAGGAACATTATTACTTTGAACTGCACAAAATAAAGGCAGGATATAAATTTAATAAATAAACAATAGTTTTCTTTCATTAAGATTATGATTGTATTTCAAGCATGGCACTAAACTATACATTTTGTTTAAACATGGTTCATTGCTTAATGCACAATGTATGAATTTACATATAACATTAAATTGTAATAGAAATCATAATCTATATAGGGCCTTAGATAACCCCTTTTGGAATACCATGCCCAGTTCTGGAAACCTCATTCATAAAAAAAGAGATTGATAACATCGAGTGAGTCCAGAGATGGGCCACAAAAATGGTGCAAAATCTGAGGGACAAAACATACCAACAGAGATTATGAATATGTACAATCTAGAGGACAGAAGAGAAATGGGAGACATGAATGAAACCTTTAAATATATTAAGGGTATGAGTAAAGCTGTACAATATTAAGCAAAAATCAAGAACCTGGAGGTATAACCTCAAACTCTCAGGAGGGAAGTTCAGAAGTAATTTTATAAAGTATTACTTCACAGAAAGAGTAGTGGAAGCTTAGAACAAACTTTCAGCAAGGATAGTGGGTCAGTTACTGAGTTTAAATATGCTTGGAATAAACACACACTCATCATCTAACAAAAATAAAACAATAGTAATAAAAAACTTCAAAGTGCAGCCACTAGGACCACTGTCTTTTTCTGCTGTTGTTTTTCTATGTTTCTATAAATGACAATGCAAATGAATAACAATGACATACTGACAACATGTTAACTGAATAAATGATAAATTTACTAAGGGATTACCATAAAGGGTTATATGAATCCCATCATTGTCTTTGTCATCTCCACTGGAGTAGTAGTCAAGGAAAGGAAGGATGTTTAAGGTGAAAGAAAAACACTCACAGATAAACATTTTTGATCTATTTCCCAGTCAAATTCCCATCCTGCTGCTTTTAATGGAAGGCAAAAGTTTGGCCTTAGCCACAGACTAAATTGGTTGCAAATCAAGAGATGACATGAAATAAAACTTATCAAAGAACCTTACCTGTTCTGCTGTCCATTGGTCCAAAATCCAATGAATATTTAACCACATGGTAGTTGTTCCATACATAAAGAAGGTTATCCCTTGGATTATAATCCACTGCAGCAATATACTGATATGAATTTGGAAATGGAACATCCACTACACTTTCCTTGCTTTGTTCAGTGTTGTATATATAGTCAATTTTATTTCCTGTAGCTTCATTATCATCGTCTTCATATACAGATTTCACTACATATAAAATGCCACAGATCATGAATGCATTGGAAGCTGACCTTTTGTCATAGGATGTATCCCATGTCCCTTCAATCCTCAAGGTATAAGGGTTTAGCTGACTAATAACTATTTTACCATTGTTTTGTTCTGTTGCATAGATCACCCAAAGACCGTTCTCATCAACAGCCAGGTCTATATCAGATTTGCCTCCCCATCTATAAGGGGATGTATCGTGGTAGTTGGCATTAGCAATGATAGCTTCCCCACTTTTTATTCTTGTCCGTAGATCAAATTTGACAATGTTCCTGGTTCTTTCTTTGTTGAAGAATAACGCCCCATCGTACACCACAAACCCTGTGCCATCCACTCTGTGTGGGAGCTTGTAAGTTGTAGTTGGCCTTCCAGCAATGAAATCATCTTTGGAAGAATATTCTGTCAGAGTGTCAGTTCTGTATGGTGTCCATGGCATGTAGTAAATCTTGTCAGAAGCCTGCAGTGGATCCTTACACCAGGCTCCTGACTGGTGATCAGATTCAAATAAATGTTCACTCTGGTATACTCCTTTTAGTAGTCCAGGGCAAAGAAAAACTGAAGGGAAGGAAGAGGTTAAAAGTAAAATTGATTATTAAATGTGATAGAAGATTTTTCTTGGCACTTAGACATTTATAACTCAAGTTCCAGGAGAAGAACTAAAAATATCAGTCTTCTCCTAACTCTGAAAATACATGAATGGGGCTCTGTACTAAAAAGGTTATAAGGGGAAATTTATAGGGATTATAAATTTTAACTTTGACATGACATATACAACATACACTGCTATAAAACCAAAAAAGCAACTAAAAAGACATTTAAACTCTATTTCAGAGAAATCATTCTTATGGTGTGCAGTTTAAATATTAAAAAGGGCTGGGGAATTGCCACATAAATACATTCAGAATGAATCCCTAGCAAATAATAAACAATTAAAAGAATGTGTCCTGGGGAAGGAAAAAAATAGTAGCAATAAAAAGGAAAAAGCGAAATGCAGTACAGGAAGACTAAGTTGAAGCATTAAAATATCCTCTGAAATACATAAAAATAAAAACATTACTTAAGCAATTCATAACAGCCAAGACTGACCTGCTGAGATGTTTCATTCCACAGATCTTGTGACTAATATTATTTCCCTCCAATACCAAAATATGATTTTAGATATAATTCCATTTCTTTTTAAGAAACATTTTTAAATGCCAACTTTGCTACATGATTGTACAGGTAGTCCTTGACTTATAGCCAGTGGTAGGATTCATCCAGTTCGCACCATTTCAGGAGAACCGGTTGTTAACTTTCTGAGCAATTAGGTGAACTGGCTGTTGGAAGAAATCATTAGGGCAGAGAACTGGTTGTTAAATTATTTGAATCCCACCACTGCTTATAGCCATCCATTTACCAATCACTCAAAGTTACAATGACCTTGAAAAAAGTAATTTATGATCAGTTCTTGCATTTGCAAGTATCACAACATTCTGATAGTCACATGATCAAAATTTGCACACTTGGCAATGATGGTTGCAGTGGCCCAGGGTCATGTGATCATCATTAGCGACTTTGCCTACCAGCTTCCACCAGCAAAATCAATGGGGAAAACTAAGTTTGCTTAGCGACCACAGTTGCAGTGATTTGCTTAACACCCATGGCAAAAAGATTGTAAAATTGGGTGTCACTCACTGAACTACCTTGCTTAGCAATGGAAATTTTGATCCCAGTTGTGGTCATAAGTTGAGAACTACCTGTACTTAAATTTTCAGAATGTAATCCATTGCATTATGTTATTGTATTTTTCGTTTGGATAAGAAATATTTTTTGTATACAGTTATTAAATAAGTCAAACTAGGTATGACACAAAATTTGTGTTTGTATTTAATATGTTGATTTATAGAAATACAAACAGCATCAGCTGGGATGTATGTGTCAATTAATGGAAATTAGCAGGAATGGCCTGCAAATCCTTTCCTCTCCTGTTTTGGTCCTTAGGACAATCCTTATACTGGATGGTGTTTGCAACTGAAGCAGAAAGGGAATTTTCTTACAGCATTAATCCATCTTCAAAAATTTCCTACCTGAGCCTGCAGGGCTCTCAATCATTATTTTTATACGACACTCAAAGAATGAATGTAGCATCATCTTGGATTGGGAGGACCAAAGCAAAGCATGAGCAGAAGAAGGGTCAACTTGGCATTAAGACAGGCATGTCAAAAACAATTATATGTTAATATTGAAACTGAGATGCCAAGACTTTTGTAAGAGCTCTGATCTCAGCCACAGCCAAGGCTGAAAAATAATTTTACTCGGTATATTTATGTCAATATTCCAATTCTAAGTCAGCTCCATTTAGAAAATGGTAAAGATGCTGACCTCTTTGGTCCTTTTCCAGCCTTTCCCACTGACCAACTCCCAATTGACATACAAGACACCCATTTCACCCTCTAGAGTTCCTGATGGCAACCCTGTCCCTGTTTATTGTGTTTGGTCCTCAAGCCAATCAGAATTGTACATCCCTGGAATTACAGTTGCCTGAGGAATAAGGAAAGGTTACTTGGTTTGCCAGATACCATTGGGGGTGAGAAGTGTTTCTCATACTCTATGGCGTCTTCTGAGGTGAAAAATACTGAGGGGAAATGACAGATTTGTCTTTTCCTTTTGCAGCTAGTATAGTGAATTTGGGGCTTCTTTCTATTTGGAAATGATTCCCTCCAAATGTTTGGTTTCTTCCAACAGCGATTTTCATCCTAAGCCTGCTTGCTTTGAACCTTAATTCTAAGTAAATAATGTAATATTTAGTTAAGTGTAGGGAGGCAGTGGTGTTGGTGTTTAGACCAGGCTTTCCTAATTTGCTTTACTTTTACTACCTTGTGATTGGCTCAAGGAATCAGAAAACATTTTTTAAATTCTATATAGGGCTGTAGATCAGGGCTGCCCAACCTATGGCCCGAGGGTCACATATGGTCCTGGACAGCTAAAAATGTAGCCCCACAAGATTGTAAATGTTTAACATTATTAGGTGATTTCTTAGTTATATTTTCTATGTGGCCCAAGACAATTTATCTTCAGTCAAAGTGGCCCAGGCAAGTCAAAAGCCATGCCTTAGATCAGTGGTCTCCAACCTTGGCAATTTTAAGACTTGTGGATTTCAACTCCCAGAGTTCCTCAGCCAGCAAAGCTGGCTGAGGAACTCTGGAAGTTGAAGTCCACAGGTCTTAAAGTTGCCAAGGTTGGAGACCACTGCCTTAGATCAAACCCTTAGGGTCAGACTGAATTTCCAAGGATCCCTGGACCTGAGTATTCTCAGCAAATATCCTTTGTCCCTCCAAAAAAGAATGGCTGAAATGCAATAGCAGCTCAAGGTAGGAACAGAACTTTCAGCTTCCATGCTACTATTTGGAAAGTTAACTTCTCTTTCTTTCAATTTTTAAAAAAATATAATTTCAAAGAAAGATGTATTTTTTTTAATCCCATTCACTTTATGAACAAATTGGGATGAAGAAGTAGTTAGCACAATGGTTCCCCTCCTATTTGGATAGCTAATTCCAAAAGTGGCACTTAGGAGACGATTGTTTATTTCAGGGAAATTATGAAATGGGTTCCTCCGGACTTTATTTCCTGAGGTTTTAAACATGCATATCATTACCAATATGCTGCCGGTGACACCCAGTCCTCCTTTCCTAATACAAATAAGGCAATTGATATTCAGAAGCAGAATAAAGAATCAATTCAAGAGCTAATAAACTAGGATTCAGTCTAGACAAAACAACATTAAAGGATGTATCCTGAAGAATCATTTGGGCCTTCAAAAATTTATAGGTATTTCAATCTGCTCTCACCAAAGAAGGGAAGTCACAAAAGAGATGATGGCCTGTTTCTAAAATACCTTTGCCTGGCATCTATATTGTGTGTGTTTTTTTAGTGCTCTCTATTGCCAGCATTTAAAAACAATTTTAGTGGTTTTAGAACTTTTTTTATGGCCTGCTTCATTAGTGTGAGTTTATAGATAAATTTAATGTTACGTCTTTTTATTGTTGCTGGTGATTTTGCACTGACAATTCCTATGCTTTCTTTTATATTGCTTTGTTTTTCTTAATATGATTTCAACGGATTATTCATTGCCCTGAGAACTGCAGGGGTCAGTTTCAAACAATAATAAATAAATGAGTAAAATAAGCAAGTAAGTGCATAAATAGATTCATTATTAAATAAGTGATACTGTACTATTATATTTTTCATGGTTTTGATAATGGAAACTTCAACAACAAAATGTGTAATAAGTATACCAATCAACTTTATCATAGATCTTTAAAAATCTATATTAAGTTTGTACAGTATACATTCAAATGCAGAAATACATGTTTCCTATGTACTTATAGATCCAAACTCTCCCAAAAGTGGGAGCCTTGGGTCAAGTGAACACAGATTGTAAGCTGGAGAGAATAAACTAGGCAGTGTAGTCTTGGTCTTTCTGTCTGTCCAACTGTACTAGGCATCAAACCACATACAGTACAGAAAATTTAGTTTGCAATTTTTGGACAAGAATTATTCAAACCCTTCTTCATTCAATTTATACTTCGAAGCTATAGCTTGTACACACTCAAAAAAATATACCACTGACGTTCAAAAAGTTACTTATAAGTAGGCATGCATGAGATTGCACCCTTTAATGTTTATTATTAAATATTATACAAAAACAATTTTCAATACTACAGTATGTGAGTATTCTTGCAAATTATTTCATGTGCTTCCCATAAATTGTGAGGAAGCAGAAGGAATACATTATAATTGTTAAAACAATCTGTAGGAAAGAAGAATGGTACTATTAAACATTTCTTGCAAAAAGATGAGATGTTAGTATTAAATAGCAGCCACTCCTTCCCTGACCAAATCTTTAATAAAAGAGATTAAAGTGGTGTAGGTTAATGATGAAAGAGCTTCAACTAACATTCAAACATTTAACATTTTATCCCCGAATTGCTTAGAATGAGTATATGTATAAAACAGGTGAAAGCTATTTAATTACCTTTTTGTTCCACTTCTATTGAAGAGAAAGAAGAAAAGCAAGAAAGAGAAAAAGAAATAGATTAATGGTACTGTACTGAGCAGACATCTTTGCTGTTGCATTGAAGTTTTAGCCTCTGGTTCATTTTCAGTTACAGTTTGTGAACATGATGTATCTAAGATCTAAGGTCTTTAAATTAAAAAAAAAGTACATTACAGTGTTAAAAGGCATGCAGCATCATTTCCAAGAAACCATTAACACCATTATAAAACTTGTATTAATTTTAATGTGAAAAGTTTTAGGATCCTATAATGACTGAAAACCCCTAATTACATTAATTCCAGGAATTGTCTCCAAATGAGAATATATTCCCGAAAAGATGTCATAGCCTGCAACCTCCAATAGCATTACATTAGTAAACAACATATTTCTTCCTGCATTTTAATCAGAAAAAAAACCAACACAATATTATATAAAAACTTCAGCTTTTTAGTAATGAATTCTTTATGTATGTAATGAATGATATTTTTTTTACTATCCATCAATTAAGCAATATAAAATGATTTATAAGTGCATTAAGTAATCACTTTCTTAATGATACACAGTTTTCACAAACTAATAATAGGAATTGATTTAGAAAAAGCACAAAGCACAGATACAACATAATTTAAAGGATTTTAACAGGTTTTAGACTGTTGCAGACATTAAAAGGTTTTCTATGCAATGTCAAAATCAGAATGTAAGGATGGAAAAATGGCAGTATATAGTCCTATATTAAAATGACAAAGGAAAACTTCTGAGCTTATATTTAAATAATGCCCATATTCTCTATTTCTAATCATAGTGAACATACAGGCAGATAAAGTCACAAAGAATTCTTGTTCCAAAACAGGGAAGTGTGTTAAAAATAATGAATTGTGACACTAGACTCAGCAACTGGCCTGGTGCTTGCTTATTAATATCCTGCCTTTATTATATTTAAAAATCATGACTGCTAAGATATTCACCTTCTTCATCATATTTTCCTCACAACAACCCCGTGAGGGGAGTTGGGCTGAAAGAGTATGACTGGCCCAAGGTCAAGCTGGCATGGAGTTCTTGGATGATAAGTCCTGGCCAAGAATGTTAATAAGTACCATATTTTTAAAGATATAGCCTATAGAGTCCCATGTGCACAGAATTGCATGTATGTGCATGTATGTGGAGGAGCATATCAATTTAATGTTTCATGAGCATAAATGAGAATAAGAAGCATAGCACCCAGCTTACAAGATTCTATATGTGTAAATGGCTTTATGGTGATGATAAAACACTCAAATAAACAACAAGATTTTTTTTCAGAAACTGTAAAGCAACAGTATCTATTGTTAATGAATTAGTAATGAAATAATATTTTGAACCAAATTCTAAAATTGTGTTTATGGATGAGTATAAGACGCACCAAGGTTTTGAAGAGGCAAATTAAAAAAAAGTAGGTAGGTAAATAAAGGGATAGAGAGGGAGAGAAAGAGAGAGAAATACAGTAGGTAGGTAGGTAGGTAGGTAGGTAGGTAGAGAGTGAGTAGTTGGGTAGGTAGGTAGATAAAGGGATAGAGAGAGAGAGAAATAGAAAGAGATAGAGAGAGAGTGAGTGTAGGTAGGTAGGTAGAGGGATAGAGAGAGAAATAAAAAGAGATATATAGAGAGAAAGTAGATAGGGAGAGAGAGAGAATAGGTAAGTTGGTAGGTAGAGGGATAGATAAATATAGAGAGATAGAGAAAAATACAGTTGATAGGTAGGCGTTTTTGCTGGCACAGCACTTGATCAATGTAATGTAATGTAATTCTCATCAATCAGTTAAATAGCTTTCCAAAAGGAAAAGACCCCCCCCAAAAAAAGACATGAATAGCCTTGGGGGTAGGGGGCTTCCAGAGGAGGGCAAAAATTAGCAAAAAAAGGCCTGTTTTTTTGCAAAAATGGGCCCATTTTTTTGAGAAAAAAAAATTGCATGCATAGCCTTATGGAGGCTTATAGAGTGCTGCTGGGGGCTGGGATGGCCCGTTTTTCACTCATTTCTGCCCTCCCCAGCCCCCAGGAGCTCTCTGAAAGCCTCCATAAGGGTATGTATGGTGATTTTGGTGATGGGACAGGGCTTTGGGAGGCAAAAAATGCTGTATTTGATGTATAAGATGCACCCAGATTTTCAGCCTCTTTTTTGAGAAAAAAAGGTGCGTCTTATACTCTGAAAAATACAGTATTTACCCAATTGGTAGTTTGGAATACTAAGCAATAAGAGAGAAGTGGGGGGAGGGGAGGGACGACAAACTCTATTTTAAGAACCAAATGGGAAATTGGGGACCAAAGAAATGCATCCTCTCTCGCCATTCCCAGTTAGCAACCTGTAAAGAGCCAGTTTGGTATAAAGCAGGGATGTCAAACTCGCAACGACACATTGTCATATGATGCATCACAACTTTTTCCCACTTTACTAAACCGGTGGTGGCCATGGCCAGTCCCATGGCCTGCGGGCTGCGGGTTTAACACCCCTGGTGTAAAGCATCAGAATAGAAACAAGGAAACTTGAGTTCTAGTCCCATCTGAGGCATGAAGCTAGCTGTGTGACTTTGGGCTAGTTAGTTTCTCTCAACCCTGGGAAGGAGGCAAAGGCACTTCTGAAAATCCTGGGAAGAAAACAGAAGGGGCCTACCTAGGAGATCTCTGAGATTTTGAGATCAATCAGACACGAATGGAAGGAAAAAGCAAACCCCCAAAGGCAGCTAAATATTGTGAACGTAATACAGAATGCTGAGAGGAAATCTAACAACAGAATTTTAAAGCGGTAGGCTATTTAACCAGGAAAGGCAGTAAGAACTGAGAACATGAGAGCTTTGATAGATTATATCACAATGAGTGCCTGGGATTATCCAATTAGAGGCAATTGGGAGACTGGGAGCTAGTACTCACTCTTATGGCTAACAAGCATGCATGGAGATTGTTATGGAAGCACACATGAGACCGGACTGTATTCTGCATTTTTTGATTCAGAAGTCTCCTTTTGCTTCATTATTGTATAGAACAAACTCATTTCCTTAGCAGGTCACTTAGAAGACAGGACACGAAGGAAGCAGATTTGGCATATATAGTCATCGTTCCTCCTCAGGTCTTGTTACCTTATGTTTGTTTAATTTCTCAGTGCATTATTTCTTCTTCCCATATATGCAACTGCTGAACCCCTAGTATTACAAGCAGCACAACTCAAGATCTAAAAAGCTAGTGAGAGGAACAAATATTTAAAATGAGCCAGGTTCCTTACATAATTCTGTCTGGGAAGGAATGATATTTTTTTATTTTAATCTATTTCCTGATTTTTTTCCTCATCCCTACTAAATATTTTAGTCCTATATGTTAAACATATGTTAAAAATATGTTAAACGGGTCTTCTACTATACTTACTGTGCATTGATAAAAGTGAAGTACAAAAATGAATGTTAATTTTCATTTGCATATTGGTTTGTAAACTGTAAATTAGATTGTACAGCTAGTCCTTGACTTATGACCACAATTGAGCCCAGAATGTATGTTCCTAAGTGAGAAATTTGTTAAGTGAGTTTTGTCCCATTTTATGACTTTTCTTGCCACATTTATTATGTGAATCCCTGCAGTTGTTAAATTAGTAGCAATAGCACTTAGACTTATATACTACTTCAGAGTGCTTTGCAGCCCTCTTTAAGCAGTTTATAACATCAGCACATTGCTCCCAACAATCTGGGTCCTCATTTTACTGACCTTGGAAGGAGAAAGCTGAGTCAAACTTGAGTCGGTCAGAATCGAACTCCTGGCAGTCAACAGTGAATTAGCCTGAGTGAATCTGGCTACCCCACTGACTTTGTCAGGTCAGAAGGTCGCAAAAGATGGTCACATGACCTGCAACCATAATAAATATGAGCCACCCTGTTTAAGCATCTGAATGGAAATCATGTGACCATGGGGATGATGCAATGGTCATAAGTGTGAAAATTTGTCAGAAGTCACTTTTTTAGTGCTGTTGTAATTTCGAACAGACACTAAACAAATCACTGTAATTCGAGGACTAACTGTATTGCATTAAAAATACAAATCAAATGATTTTCTTTTCCATTAATTCCTGAAGTCCAAAAAAAAGTCTTGCAATCCATGTAGATTGTCCTGCAACTGAAAGTTCAGTACTTCTTTTAATTTATCAGGTATCTTTTAATATAGAAAAGACAAAACAGACTCCACCACTTTCTAAAAGCGGATTCTCATTTACTGCTTCACAGAATGTCTGCATATACATAGGCAGATAGTCCTTGATTTATTAACATTTGCTTAGTGAATGTTTGAAGATACAATGGACCTGCCCAAGGATACTTACAACTCAGTTCCAATGTTCTGATGCCCCCCCCCCCCCGGTCATGGAACTGCATGTTGGGCTCTTGGCAACAGCCTTTATTTATGGATGTTTGCAGTTTACCTGGCACCTTTATGGTATTTTGCTGAAAATCAGGATGCATTTTCATCTTTTAGCAAAAATGTCTATAGTGAACAGTAGGTTTACTTTACAACTGCAGCTGTTTAAAAAAGCCTCTAAAAAAGCACCCTCTACAGGAGANTTATATGTTATGAAAATGGAAAATAAAAATTTTCTATGGAGAGCATGTATGGTAGAACTCTTTGTCCTGCCCTTTCCAACTTTTTAATTTTTTGCACGTTCTTTTCCTGTGTCTTGTAATGTGTATCCTGGATGTCACCTCAAATCCAAGTGCAGCTTTTGGTCCAAAGGTTAAATAATCCTGATATAAAGGAAGTGAGTGAGTATTGGGAATAATGTTACTCTTATAAGTGGAAAGGTGACATAAAAATGAGCTGAAACTTGCAAAGAAGACATTATTATTCACAGTATCACAATAGTCGGCATACAGTTTGGCTATTAATCAATCAACGGAATCAATGGAAAAACAGAAAGTGAAATTAGACATCTGCAAAAGAAACATTAGTAACAGGAATCTTCAAAAATACACAAGCTCCAATCACAACAAAGAGAGCATTTC